ATAAAGGATTTAAGCGAAAATAAATAAATAATTGAAGTGAGAAAAAGCTAAAATTTAATGGGCAAAGTGTAGTTTATTTATTCTTAGAAATTAACGTTGGGTTAATATCTTTTTTTTTAAAAAAAAAGTAATGCTATATGAATTTAAAATTTTATTGTATCTATTAATATAACATAAAACACTAAAATTTGGACTATATTTTAGTACAATATATATTTTTTTTCTTAAAAAACAATTTACAAAGAAACTTCTTTTATCCATCCAAAATGATATGATTATTTTGAAATCCGAATTATCAATGTGATCTATTTTGTTAAGGAGCGATTGTTCTCGCTCTACGTTATCCTAAATATACTTTCTTGTTTGTTTCAAATACATTAATACTCTTGAAATTTTGATTTTTTCAAGGATTATATTTTGTATGAAAGGGTATTAATGTAACTATGTATAAGGGCTGGTTTGGCAAGTGTAAAAAAAGTCAAAAAGTCAAAAAGTTATCAAAAAAGTTAAAAAGTAATCACTATTCACCAAAAAATATAAAAAAATTAATATACAAATATTAAAATATAACATTAACTTTTTGGCCCATCAATGTTTGACGTCAAGCCAACGGTAGGGAATGGGCAAAAAAAAAAATTACATGTATACATTCACTAAGTTGGATGGTAAAGTTGGGCCCGTAGGGGCCCACCGTAGGTCTTGTTTTGATAATTCGAACCGTCAAGATATAGAACTCGTCTAGTACTATAAGCTTGTAAAAAATCACGTCTATCGGATATCGCTAACTACATGATTAAATCGGTTTTGTATAAAAATTGGATGGTGTTATAGTTAACAGTTGACAAAAAAACTAACACGATCAGATAGCTATCGATATCCAATTAACGTGATTTTCTACAAGCATATAGTACTCGACGAATTTTACACATTAAACGGTTCCGATTAGAAAAACGGGACCCGTGGTGGCCTCCACGGGTCGAACGACACCGTCCAATCAAAGCCCAAAAAGGAGGCAATTTTTTTCCATGTATTCACCCAGCCGATTGACTGCCAATCCGTACGGTGTACTACACTATATTCTCCTACACACTTATTTATACAATTTTTTAACACATTTTTTTATAAAAAGTCAAAAAGTTAACTCAAGCATCCATATTTTTTTCCTCAACTTTTTAGTTCAAAAAGACAAAAAGTACATTTATTTAGGACATCCTAAACAATCTCTTATGACAAAGAAATGAGTATATTTAAAGTAAAATGGAGTAAGAAAATATTAGAAACTCAAAATATTTTACCAATATTTCTACTAAATGTGTCACATGGGTGTGGACCTACACGATGTGAGTCCTATGTAGATCCCACACCCATATGACACATTGGTAAAAATATTTGAAATCTCTGACATTACTCGTATTTTTTTTTTTTCCATGTACAATGTAATTAAAAAAAACGAATAAATGAACAAAAACAAAAACAAAAACAAAAATATCAACACAATGGGGAGTCATGGTAAAGTCGAAAAGTCTAACTAGATTTATTAATGTTAAATCTTTCATTATCTATATGAACTTCTCTCTAACTAGAGATATGTCAAATCTTTTAATAAAATGATACTTGCAAAGTTCTAATGTCATATTTTATTAGTTTGATTTAAAAATAAAAAAATTAAGGAAAAGAAAAGAAAAGAAAAGAAAATAAGCAGCAAAAAAAGTTTATTTATTTATCTTTGTAAGGTCCAAATTTTTTTTTTGATGGGCATTGATTAAATTATTCATTAGTAGTATTTATTTTTAAGATTGTATTTGATTATTGAATTTAATGACAGATTTATGTATGAAAAAGTGAATGAAGTTATTTTTTTCATTTTTATTTTTCTTTCTCTCACAAATTTATTTTCAAATCCAAGATTCAAATATAGTCTAAACAAAATTGAATTTGAATTTGAATTTGAATTTGAATTCCAACAAGAGTTTGAATTGAGTGGTGTGCTTCATCCTAAAAACATCTTTTATAACATAGGATTAAAATAAAACAATAATAAATAATAAACAATAAATAAAAAAAGGTGAAATATTTTTGTTTTGAAAAATCCTAACTAGGTTTCAATATTGCACTATAACAAAAAATGCATAACAAATTTTGTATTTTTATTTTTGTGCATACACTTGTGTTTGTGTGTATTGAAAAAGATTCAGCTACTACATATGGAAAAAAAAAAAAAAAAAAATCAATGTCAACTATATAACAATGAATATAAAATCTTAATTACAAAACTTGGACAAGAAAATTGAATCCTGTAACAACCCCAACCTGTGATTAGTTAATTATCCTTAATTAAGAATGCTTAATATGTAATTAAGAGAAAATTTTATATTAATTGCACGTGTTTTGTGTTAATTGTGCTTGTATCTGTCAGTTGTAGGAATATCTATTTAAATTTCAAATTCAATATGCGAATTGAAGTTCTTATCGGCATCTGAACATGAAATTGACTACGTATGTGTTATTTAGAATTTTTAGAGCCTTATGGTAAGTTTAATTAGATTTGATTCGAAATCAAATAATTATAATAAATTAATTATTAAAATAATTTAACTTAGCTCTAATAACATGTAATTAGTTTAAGCTAATTCAATCTATATATGCACTAACCATGAGCTTAGCTTATTATTTTGAGCTTAACACAACCTAGAGAATCTTAGAGAGAAAAGGAGACTACTCTTGAGAGAGACCATCATCTAACAAGGGTAAAAAGAGGAATTACTAAGGAATTGAAGAGAATTAGAAGAATTGTACAAGAAATTGCTAGGATTCAAGGAATTGAGAATTCTAGGTAAGAATTTAACTCTCACTTTTTGAAATTAAATACTTTGCATGTGAATTTAAGAGAATTTAGAGATCACACACATGAATTGAGCTAAGGAAGGAGTAATGAGGAACAATCCTTGCATGCATGCATCAATCACCAAGTTTTGAGTTTACTTTCCAAGAATTCATACATGCAAGTGTATATTTTGCTAAGTCTTGAGAGTTCACCGTGATTTCACATCTAAACACTTTATTTGTCCATGTTTTGGGAGTTTTGAATTCAAATCATTGCATGCATCTGTTGAGTACAAGTTTCAAGCTTGGATTTGGAAAAACTGTTATGGTTTTGGGCTTTGATTATGACGATTGATCTTTAATTCATGTTTTTACACAAGTTTCTAGGTGTTTTCCAAAGTTTTGGTCCAAATGAACAAGTTTTGGTGCATTGAAATTGTGTTTTGAACTAGGAAAGCAAATCTAGAAATTCTAAAATTCGTGCTCTTCGCTCGAGCGATGGAGCTTGCGCTGGAGCGAAGAATGGAAGCTTCCAGTACATTTGTAGAGTTTAGGGGTTGGCTCAAGCGACAGAACCTGTGCTCGAGCGACTATTGTTTGTTTTGGACTTTAGCTTGAGCGAAGGAAGTTGCACTCGAGTGTAAAATGAGAATTTTTAAAAGTTTTGCAGACCAAAGGATCCGCTCGAGCGACCAAAGTTGCTCTCGAGTGAACTGCCCTGTTTTTGAAAATTTGACTAAGTGTTTCAACTTATATTTTGGCATTCTCATTGCAGCTTAGGCATTCATAAACCTTAATTAAGACATAATAATGAGGATAAGGATCAGAAACACACCAAGATAGAAAAGAAATGAGTTAAGTGTTTTCCGAGTGTGTGTTTCAATATGTATCTGTTATGTGTTTGTGTAGGTCACGTGCCATAGACTGTTTGATCTGTCTATTTTGCTACTGGAGCTATTTATAAGTAATAACTCTGTAAAATTATGTTCAACTTTAATTATTTTCTGAATGATATGATATGATCAGTTTTCTAAAATATTAGATTCTGTAAGAATGATTGATTGTCCGAATTTCTGAAATGTATTCATGACATCCTTAACATCATGTGATATTTGTTATCTGTTACCTAGTATCAGAGGTTCTATTATGGAATTGGTTAAGTATAACCATTATCTGCTCTATATACGTCTTTTTTATGGGTTGTCTGGTCCCTTTATGGGTCATCTGATCTGTTAGAGCTAATGGATATATCACGTATGACTATCTGTGAATTCTGAATTTTGAATATGAATATGAATCTGTTTTTGACTCTAAACTCTGATTTCTGAATCTGTTACGAACATCATTCATTAAAACCTTTACTTTGTTATTATTCACTAGGTTTCAGCTCATTATATTGTTTATGTATGTAGGTAACCAGGCGCATGACCAGACTTAGTGATGACTGCCTGGAGATCTATTTTGGCATCCAACCGCTGCGCTCCCGAGGAGGTTCCCGAGTTAAAGTGTGTTTCTGCAACAAGTTTTAAGTTTTTGTTTTCTTCTGTTTATCTAAACAATTTTGGTATGCTTTGTATTTAGGGCTAAGTCCCTTTGATTGTATATGTATTGGTGACGTAGGACTAACGTATATATGACGTCAAATATATGTATATAAATTTTAAACTTTTACGACATGTATGTCTGCACGGCTCTATGGACATTGTATTTCATATTTGCTTTCGTTAATCCCTTAATTTTGTTTTATATGTTCAGAGACCTTAAGATTACTGGCCGGTTACGATACTAAACCCATAGGAGCAGGTTTGAGTCGTGACAAATCCCATGGCCTAGTTAATTTTGCCTAGCCCTTCCAGTGAAAAGATGAAAAAACCCCTGGAGGCTGCAGTCAATTGTTCACTACATTTGGTTCATACAGTCCATTGTACTATACACATTGCAATAATTCTTTCCTCTTGTGCACTAAACATAAACTAACATCAAGACAGTATCATTTTCACTTTCGTTTTCTATTTTATCTCCTTGGCAACGAAAAAATAGGAAACTAATTTGAAAAACTTATTTTGAAAATTATTTCAAAAATCTGTGTATTGAGAAGCTTTTTGAAAGCACCCTCATTAGGAAACACTTTCATTTTTTTTTTATTTTTTTTTTTTTGGAAAAAAATGAAAATGATATGAAAGCAATAAACTTTATGTTGTTTTCATTTATGAAAATAAGGAAAAATAAAAGAAGAAAAGTGAAAAACAAAATTGAAAATCTTGAAAACAATACCAAATAGGGCCCTCCCTTGGTCATTTAGTAGAGGTTGGCCAGGTTGAAGGCATTCGAGTGGAGGTTACAGGGGGCATGTTACGAATGTTGATGTCAAGGGGCAGCAAGCGGTATTCAATATCAAGCTCTCTGAAAATTTTAACCATCTCTTCCAAAACAATGGCTCTCCTTATCCACTTCTCTCCTATGTCTTGGTGGTTTATCCGATGTCTCATCCATACTGCGAACCTCAGCCTGTTTAAGTCCTCTACGTTCATCGCTATGATCATTGGATCCGAATACCAATGGTCCTTCTTGCTTTCGATGAAACTGCAGTGGCAGGATTCAAACAATGATCAATCAAACTCATATTTTATCAGAACCGCAAGCTCAAGGCACATAATCACTGCAATAATAGAGTTTCCAAGAAGTGAAGACTCTGCTAAATTTTCGTACTACTATAAATAATTGCTCTTCTTTTGTAAAAAATTTTAGCTTTCATTTTATTTGTTTTGGCTCTTCATTTCTAAACTTTTTGGTAATTGCTCCTATTGAGTCATGCGTTCAGTCAAACATGATGATTGGACGGCCAAGCCCGAGCAAGGGGCGGACCAAGTCAAAGGTGAGCCCACAAAGTATGGGATTGTGCTCATCTCCTTTGGAAAAATTATCGGGCAAGAGATACAATCCCGTCAAGGGCAAAGTGATGTGTGCAAGTTGTTATGAGATATACTCCATGGTCATGTCAGGTAGTATAAGAGGAACATTGAATCTAAGGGCAAAGGAACGCAATTTTAAACATTCATATTGTTATTCTGAGAGTATTATGACCTGCAATCTACTGACTTAAATATTAGAATGCTCCCGACTGAACACCTAGCTGACAAGGACTCACGTTTGTGGTTGCAGGTCCAGAAAGTAAAAGAGAATACAAGGTGTTGATTCTACTCATTGTCTCTGCCACCAATGTGGTGGATTTTCTCGACACTAACTTTTTACGGAGGCACATTGCTGAACTAAATCACATATATCTTATGCTTATTTGATTTTTTTTTTTTTTTACTGTTTTGTATATTGAAACCATTCCATTCTCGCGTAGCAAGTAGAAAGCATAATACTAAAAGCAAAGGTTAAAAAAAGAAGAAGAAGAAGAAGAAGAAGAAGAAGAAGAAGCTAAAACCAGAGAGAGAGAGAGAGTTTCTATACCTTAAGATTCTTTGCTTCATGAGAGCAATTTTCTCTGCTGGAGTTGCAAGATGGACACAGAATTCAATTGAATCACCCATGTCTGGACTACGATAGAAGTTACCGATGGGCTTCATAGAAAGAGTACTATTCGGAAAACTAGTCTTCTGATTGTCATATCTCAGAAAAATCGTATTTAAAATGTTCATCTCTTCTACTACCAACTGAAAATTTATGAAATTAGATTAGCCAGGCACAAATACACACACTAAAAACCATAAAATTAAAAAAATAAAAATCAAATAAAATCAAATATGATTGTCATACCTGAACTCCATCAATCTCACACCGATCACCTACATCAAACGGGTGCATCACAAACAAAAAGATGATGGATTCGAATACTTGCTTGCACGTGTTTCCAAAAATAAATGCCACGACGATGATCTGAGAGCTTATGGAGGACAAAAATTTACTGGTTACGATTCCTAGTATGAGGAGACAAGAAATCCCTATGATGATGGCGACTAGCACATTCACCATCTGATGAAGTTTGTTCACAGCTGTTTTTGTATCGTTGAGTGTTAGAGCAAGCGCTCTTCGTTCTCTAAAAGCATTAACCTAAAAGAATTCAAGTGTAATTGATTACCATATATATATATATATATTTACATGATGGTTTTAAAACCAAACAATGCAGATTGATCCTGTAATTTACATTAAGTTTTCGTAGTCATGAAAAAAGAAACATAAAAATCACCAAATTTATTTTTACATAACAAGTAATCCAAGATTAATGAAACCATTTCAAGACCTAATCAAACATGTTTTAGGTCCGGGGCTCAATGATGCAAGGTCTCTGGAATCTTGGCCACCACTAAATCTGTGTTTACTATTTGCATAATTAGCCATGTAAATGACCATTCGTCCAAGAAAACCACATTCCGACGTTTATTAATTACAAAACCATAAAAAGTAAATAATGTCAAAAAACAAACCCAAAAAAAATAAAAATAAAAAAGGCCATCTATTATTGCATAGTTCTTACCACCCAGTTCTTGAGAGCAGCCTTGCTGATTTTTTCTACTACAGGTGATCCTCCCAAGAGGCACACGGTCTTTATAGACTCGTCTTCCCGCATGAAACGCATCACGTCTTCCAGGTAAATGAACCTGCCACCAAAAAAACATCCAAGATGCTCGATGATTCAAGACTAACTACTAGAATGAAATTGACTGTATGGAACATTTTTTTTTTTCCCTTTGTTTTTTCATAAGTGATGCACCCGTGCCGCATGCCTAATCCCCCAAAATGTGTTTGGGACAGACAGGGACGGAACTAAGAAAAGACTATGGGGGCCATAGCTCCCTGTTTCTGTGAAGAATATTATTTGCCATAGAACTTTAAAAAATATATATATGATTTTATACATAAAATGGCCCCTAAGATAAAAAAATATATATATCTCATTATTTTCCCATCTTACATTCTCTTTCTATTTTGCACACACACAAAAAAAAAATTTCGTCTTTGGCAACTGTCCTTTTTAGCAAAAAATTCAAAAAGTTACTAAAAAAATCAAAAAATCAACAACTCATACCAAAAAGTCAAAGATTCCATTTTCTCTCTACTTTTTACACGTCTTTTCGTAAAAAACAAAAAGTCATCTCAAACATACTGGTTTTTTTTACATTACATTTTAGCTAAAAAGCTAAAAAGTTATTAAAAAAACCTGTTCCCAAACGAGTAAGAAATTACTATTGTGGTATTTAATTTTTTTTTTCTATGTAATTATATAGCATATTGTACATACATGTATGTTTGTGTATATGATGAAATTTCTTTTTTCTTTTGACCTCTCAAGTAATAAAACCCTGGTTTTGTCCCGGGGCAGAGGAGAATGAGATGAATTGAGGTGTGTACATACATAATTATCTTGAGTATATTAATCATTTCTTTATTTTTCGATTGCATGTAAGGGACAAAAAGAAAGGTTTTTGATATCTAGTTGACCATTTAATAGGATTTGAACCTTGATGAAGTTCTGACTATCTGTAAGAGAAAAAAAAAAAAAAAGAAGAAGAAGAAAAAAAGAAAAGAAAAAAAGAAAAGAAAGAGCTAATAGATCTTAGAGGATTCCCAAGAAATTCTTTGATTTCTTCCAAAAGCAGAAGATTGATCATCTACCTAGACACCAGACCGATCCTTGCAAACACAAGTAACATTAGTTAGACGAATTACAAATCCTAGTTCAAGTTAAACTCAACAACCCTCTATCCCAAATTCCCAATTACTTGGGATGACAAGGCCGCGACTTGGATTTGTTCCCTCCAATCGACTATTAAATTCCATATCCTCGGTTAAGTCCAACGCACATGATTGCTTTCTAACTGCAATGACAAATCTTGATCCTTTGATTAGTATTCTCTACAATTTTGCATTTTAGTCATGAAGAATAGTCTTTCCAATTTTTTTTAGCCAATGTCATAATTAACTGTTCTATCTTAATCTTAATTTAAATAATCAACTCATGAGGTAACCAAATGCTAAAATGGAATGCATCAAGTGAACAACCCTTACTTGTAGCCTCTCCTAGCCACATTTTGGAAGATCTTCCTGGCCGCAACTTTGGCCTCACATTCGCTTCTAATCAGCGTCGTAGCCTCTTTCCCAACTGTCGAATCTTGTATCTGCTCATCGAGCGTAGTCAACACTCCGTGCCTGACTATTCTCATCAACCTCTTCATATTCCAAGCCGATATATTCTTATGATTCATCTTATGCAAATGATCAATCGGTATCCCCTCATCTTGCTTCTTTGAAGCCGCCCTCGAAAACTTACTGCTCAACGATCTCTGCGGTTTCTGAAGCCCTCCACTCGTTATCACCCTCCCACTTTTCCCAGACGGGAACGCAGCTGCTTTCAGCTCGGGAGGCACAACCACTCCAGCATTCTGAAGCTTCTGGACCTCTGCCATCATCCTCTCCTCATCTTCATGAATGCTCCGAATTTCAATCAAAGGAGGACCAGACAGTGTCTCAATAACATACTGATTGAACAATGATTCCTGAATTCGATCAAAAAACTGGCTAACATGGAAAGAAGATGCTAAGACTTTAACCATGAGGGTCTTCACTAGCCACAACAAAGTTCCAACCAAAAAACACAACAAAATTTCATCTACCAGCTGCAAGAACTTATTGTTTCCCTCAACTTTCTTGTCAAACAAACAGTGCCAAGCAATTAAAACCAGACCCAACCAGATACAATTCTGGACAGGCTTCCTGACTCCATAAACAAAATACAAAACCCGTTTTCGCAACAAGAAATTTCGCTCAATGAAAAACACAACAATCCGAATCCCCCAACCCGAAACCAACCGACCACATATCAAAACAAGAATCAAAAGAGTCCATTTCCACAATTCGAGTCCCCGGACTCTTCGGGCCTTCCAAGCCGGAACCGAAAGACTGCAAATCAAACCTGCAACAATGAAAACAAGACTAACCCATTGAAGAATAGTGAGTGCATTGAGGTTTGACCTCTTGTATTCCTCTGGAATATCTTCATCGAACAATGGGTCATCTTCTTCTTCATCAGGTGGTTTTCCTAGCATACCCGAGCCTCTTCCTAATAACCCGGACTTCAGCTGACCCGACTTAGCAACTTTCCCGGATCTAGGATCCGGACCGGTCGGGTCCATCAACCTGGACTTTGTCTTCGTCCTCAGCATGCTTTGTCTCCTCTGAAACGACGTGCATTTGAGTACCTCTCCGCCGCCATGGTCGACCAAACTCGGAGAGCGAATTCGGCTTTGGAACTGCGGTTGGTTGCCCATTTTTCGCTCTTCGTCGTCATCTTCGGAGGTGTCTTCATGTTCGTGCCTTCTTTCGGGCTCGATATCGGAAGATGGGGATTGAAAAGAAACTTTCAAATCCTTCGATGTTGAAACTCGGTGATGGTGATTGGGATTGGTGGTGGTGCCGTAAATTGGGCTCTCCGCGAGCGGCGGCGATTTGTGGCGGAGCTCATCCATCTCCAAATCCATATCCAAAGCCATTTCACCTCTGGCGGCTCTCTGTTTATTCAAAAACTGTCCAATCAGCTTCGACGGCGGGTCGTCCGCCACCTCCCTCCGCCCTCCTCCTGCGGCGGCGGAGGAGGAGGAGGAATCCCTGTCGTCGATCTTGACGATGACTTCTCGGCGGTCGGTGAGATCGACGGTGGTCATGTCGTGGGGGTCAACGGAGAGAATGGGGAGCTCTTCGTGGTAGATGTCGTCGTCGGCGCTACCAGTGGAGATCTTTCGGGTGTGTTGTTTGTGGGATTTGAATGATTTTTTAAATGAAGAAGGAAAATCCATTGCTGATAACAATAATAATAATAATAAAGAAGAAGAAGTAGAAAGATTTTGTGAGAGACAGTCCTGAATCAAATTCAGAATCACCAGAAAATCTTCGAAGATGGATTGTGTTGTTGTTGTTGATGTGATTGGGATTGGAATGGAAGAGAGAGAGAATGAAGGGAGGATGTTGAGGAAGGAAGAGGGAAGAACAGGTGGCGGGAAAGGAAGACATAAATCTGAAGGGGAGTCCGGAGATCTTGGAATTACTCTTTGTATTTTGTTTTTTTAGAATTATTTAAATAAGTATATTTTTCAAATTTTTATAAAAAAAAATATGTAAAAAAATAGAAAAGTGATATAATCTAAAAGTAAAAATAAAAAGATAAAAAGGGTTTGGAAAATTACATGACGGCGGGAAATAAAAAAAAATTATAATAATATGAGGGTACAAGCAAATTTGCAGTGGGGTATGTGTAAAAAAAATTTTTGAGGAGGGGGGGGGTGTTTTATATTTATGTATTTTTTTTTTTAAGTATTCAATTGTTAAGTAAATGGTGATTTAGGAAGTTGATTAAAAGTTGATTTTTTTATTTTTTTTCATTTTTTTATATGAAAAGTAATGTAATTTAAAATAAATTAAAAGTTAAGTATCAACACGAAAGGACATTTTAATTATCATGTCACCACTCAATAACATGGGAGTTTCCAAAGGGATACATGCAACAATGTAAATTATAAAATACACTTTGAGATTTAGATCTCATTTGGGAATATAATTTTTTTATAGCTTTTTAGTTAAAATATGATGTAAAAAAATTAGTATGTTTAGAATTATTTTTTGATTTTTTACAAAATGTGAAAAAAGTATAGAGAAAATAAAATATTTGACTTTTGATATAGGTTGTTGACTTTTTAGCTTTTTTAGTAATTTTTTAACTTTTTGGCTAAAAAAGATATTTGTCGAATGAGGCCTTAGTTAAAATATGAATTATTTCTATAATTTAAAAAATTACATCACATTCCTTAAAATTTTTAATTTTATAATAAATGATATTTTTTAGTAATAAATCATCAATAGGAATGGCAGCAGGCCGGGGATGACACTCCCCGTCACCGATCCCCCAAGATAAAAAAAATCCCCGTCCCCGTCTCAAATCCCCAGCGGGGAACCTATCACCCCCCCCGCCGCTGCCCCTTAACGGAGATCAGGTTTTCTCGTCCTAGAAAAATCCCTGACAAATCTGTTCAACACAAACACATACACACACACAAGAACAACCAAAAAAAAAAAAAACTTAATCTGTATATGGACAGATTTGTTCATCAACAACAGATCTAGAACAACAAATTTGTTCATCAACAACAGATTTGGACAGATTTGTTCATCAACAACAATCATCAAAAAATTTGATCTATATATAAACAACAATCATCAACAACTTAAAAAAAGAAAAAATATTTGCTCATCAACAACAACATATTTGTTCATTATACATACATACACACACATTTATACAAACAAAATGGAACTTGTGTGAAAGTAACATATATATATATATATATATAGAGAGAGAGAGAGAGAGAGTTGGGCGTTGATTCCTCAATCGGCACCGGCACCGGCACCGGCGAGTCCATTGATCAAGACATCGGCCCACGATCTGTTTAGATCAGTGGCTTCACGATTCACGGACAACGATCTGTTTAGATCGGTGGCTTTACGGTTCACGGACCACGATCTATTCAGATCGGTAGCTTCACAGTGGTAGATCTGGATGATGATGATGATGATGATAAGAAGTAAGAGAATGAGATAGAGAAATCTGAGTGAGAGAGAGAGAGATGAGAGACACAGAATGAGAGAGATGAGAGACACAGGATGAAAGAGAGATGGGAGATAAAATCTAATTTGGTTTATATATATAGGGGTAAAATAGTAATTTCACTTTGGGAACTAACGAGGCCAAGAAGGAGGATGGGCTAGATATGGGGCTGAGACACTTATCCTCGTCCCCGACCTGAAACTAATCGGGGATTGATTTTTGAATACCATCTCCGTCCCATTAGGGATATTTTTCGGGAAAAAACTATTCAAATCAGGGTCGGGGAGTCGAGTCCCCATCGGGTCGGGTTTAAATTGCCATCCTTAATCATCAACTCAATTCATAGTTTTTGATAATGTTAAAAATATATTTCAAGTAATTTTATTACTAGAATAGTAGCTAAAAATTTTAATTTTTTAGTTAATTTTATTAAATAAAAAATTTTGACAAGAGAAATTTGTAATTTTTTAAACCACAAGGAATAATTCGTATTTTAAACAAATTTCATAGGTATATTTGTAATTTACCATTTTTTAAGGATTAATTAGTAAAAAAATCATTTTTATTGACCATATGTTATTTAATTCAAAATTTAATCTTTATTGGTAACAAGAACACGAGTCAAAAAATTGTCAAAAAAATCATTAGCGATCAGTGGTGGTCGGCGACTGGTTATAGTAAGTTGGACATATAGATGACATTGAACATATAAGTAAATAGATATGTGACATGTTGTGACAACCCTCACCACTGTTTACCGATTGATTACTGATTACCGTTAAACTGAGACTGATTATGATAAGTAATTGAATCGACTGAAATACTGAAATGACTGACTGAAATCTGGAACTGAATTGATTGAGTACATTTGTTTAATTGTATGTCTATCTGTTGCCTGTTTGATTATCTGTTTGTGTATTTATGCTTAAACTGCAAATTGAAGGCCTTATCGGCGGCCGAATCTGAAATTAATTAATGTTCTATGATCCTTAGAATTTATGCGATTTTATGACATATTTATCTGAAATGTGATTTACTATGATTAAATTAGATTAAAATAAGCTAATTACATAATTTGACTTAATTACCTTAGTGCCATCAAGTAGGCCACTTATTTGACACTTTAGAGGCTCGTTCTTAGGCATTACAAAACATTTGTTCAGCCCTTTTGAGTCCCATAACCGATCAAGAGAGGAGAGTGAGAGATTTGGAGTGAATTCAACTTGACTTTGTGGATTGGCTTGAAGAATTGGAATATAGGTTGCAAATTAAGCTTCCTCACCTTGTATTTGAGAACCTAGGTAAGGAATTTATCCTTTTACTTGTGTATTCAAGTTTGTTCTTGCATGATTCATGAGTCTTTAGTGATCTAAGTCATGAATTAGTTCTAGCATGTTGAGTTGTAGCTCTAATCCTGCATGCATGTTTGTATTGTTGAGTTTTAAGTTGTTTTCATGGCAAAATGTTACATGCATGCTCATAATTATATTTGAGTCCATGATTTCATCTTGTTTTGAAAAGAATCGGCTCATTAGAGCATGTATTGAAGTTTTGAATTGATTTAAACTCATGCCTGTTTGCATGTTCATCATGTTCATGAAAATTGGTTTGAAATTAAGTGTTCATGAAAATTGATTTTACAATTGAGCTTTGGAATCATGTTAAATTATGAGTTTTGGAATGTTTTATGGAAAATTGGCCCAAGAGGATCGGAATTTGTGCATTTGAACTTGGTTTTGAGCTTGGAAGTTCAAATCTGGAAATTCCAGATTTTGAACTCCCGCTCGAGCGGGGGAAAGTGGCGCTTGAGCAGGAAATTCGTGCTCCCAATACTTCGCACTGTTTTGACGTCCGCTCGAGCGGAATAATTGACGCTCGAGCGGGACCTTGTGTATTACGCTCGAGCGCCCATCGAGCGTGATTTTCACCTATCCAGTACTTTTGCCCTGTTTTGCAGAACGCTCGAGCAGGAAAGTATACGTTCGAGCGGATACCTTTGTCTGCATGTCCGCTCGAGCGGGGAAACCTACACCCGAGCGGGACCTCTATTTTCTGAAAAATATTTTAAAGTGCATCTTTGCATCCTCATTTCATCCTAGGCATTCTTAGGCCTAGTTTAAGGCATCTTAATGAGGATATAGATGTAGAACACACCGAGGCAAATTAGAGATTAAGTTATTATCTTTCCCAACTGTGTAGCTTAGTGTGCGTTCGTCCTGTAAACTGTGTAGGGTTAGTGACTAGAGACGCGCTCTAGCTTAACTGTAGCCCAGAACTCTGTGAGTAACCACTGTGTAAAGATATGTTCAAAGATGAATATTTTCTGACTGTTAACTGAACTGCTTTCTGAACTATTACTGTCAACTGAATGAATGTATGTCCTATGTTCTTAACTGTATTGTGGCATCCTTAGCAACTACTGTTTACTGTTACTGCTACTGTTACAGAGATCTCTATCGGTTTCCATATGGAACCACTACTGTTTACTGTTATAATGGCCATCATTGACTGCTCGGTTTTTTAAGACCTACTGTTTACTGTACTGCTACGCTAATGGATGTATCACATATGACTGTTACGACTGAATGATTGAAATACTGATTTAATTAACTGTTTTCATTATTGTAAGGACATTCATTCTTAACATCTTTACGCATTATGTTATTCACTGGGTTTTAGCTCACTGTTTATATATATATGTAGGTGTACAGACACCAGACCGGAGCTACGAGCGTGGGTTAGACTCCTTTTTTGTCAAGCCAACCACTGTGCCTCACTGCGAGGTTCCGAGCCTGTCAAGCTATGGCTTAGGGGTGTTTTAATTTCCCCCGTCTGTCTCTATATCTGTTTTGTAATAACTGTATAGACTGATAGCACTATACTGTACTGTACTGTCTAACAGGGATTAGGTTCCTGTTCTGATCGACTGTAAATGTTGTACATACTGTTATGTATTGTTCATGTATATACGTATGAAAAATCTTTTTGCATACAGACTCACAGCTCATTGGACATTGTTTATTTACTGTTTTGGCTTCCGCCATGCCCCTGTACTCTGTGTTATTGTCTGACTGTTAAGCAGGCCTTTGGTAATCTCGGATTACTGGCCGGTTACGGTGCTAAACCCATAGGGGCGGGTTTGGGTCGTGACAGAGTGGTATCAAAGCGATATTTAACCACGAGTTATACCGCACACACGTGTCCAAATGAGCTATAGGGTGTCATAGAAAAGTAATTAGGGCATCACATGGGCATGAAAAGTGTGTGTGGACATGACATGTATATGTGTTAATGTGTTGAAACATATAATTGCTTATGTTTAAATGTTTAAAGTATGCAACTTCCTATGTTTATTATTATAATGTTGCATATAGTGAAATGGATACTGCAAGCACTGCTAATGAAACTGAATCCCCTGAGG